GTACGTCTTTAAAAACTTTGATGAGAACTTATTCATTAGATTAAATGCCACAGAAACATTTTTAAATGTCTAAAATGTAAAACCCAGTAACATCTAATAGTTATTCAAAATATGTCAAATGACTCATTAAACAGCATTAACAAAAGAGTTTAATGTTTTGATTTATTTTTAGTAAGATTTAGTCTGAATGCTTGTATTGCATGTGTTGAAATGATCAGCGCATGTAATACAAGCATTGTGAAGCCTCGTTCACATCCAGATTGTGAACTACATCAGTGCTTTTAGTTCACTATTCTGAGGCCTATTCTGTCTTAATCTTTGACTCACGTATGGACATTTTAATAAATGCATGCTTAAATAAGACATAATCTCCTTTGATTAAAAAATGAAGTTTAGATTTAAAAGAAAGACATAAGTTTGATTTAAACTTTTCCTATCTTTTAAGGTTTCCAGTATACACGCCATCATGTCTGTGTCTGAGGATGAAGCAAACGTTTCCTCACATAATCCCTCAGAAGCCTCGGCTTCTGAGCTCATGTGTCCCATATGCCTGCAGCTCTTCTCTGAGCCTCTTTCTCTTCCCTGTGGCCATGTCTATTGCTTTCCGTGCCTTGAGACCATGGAAGAAGGCCTCGATCAACACAGCTGCCCGCAATGTCAAGCGGAATACCCAGGAAGCTCTGCTCTTGTGAAACAAGTCAAAATGCCCCAATTTGTAGAGACCTTAAAATCCGATCCTGGAAAAGTTCTCTCCACTGAAGACCATCCTGATGTCCTCCATGTGATATCCAAGAGTATGCAGGATTTAGCTATGGATCAGTCAACTGGTGAAATCCAATGTGGAGAAAAAGGGAGGGAAGATGGAGTCTGTGAGATTAGGTCTGAATCTAAAGACATACCCTTTAATCCAGTGCCAGCAAAAATTCTAAGCAGAGACAAAATGGAAATGAAGGTACCCAAGTTTAAACTTGCATCTCAAGTCACAGAATTACACTTGAAGCTAGAGATGGCAGAAGGCGCTCTAAAGAAGGAGAGGGAGTGGGAGCTTCAGGTGAACACCTCCAACTGTCAGCTGAGAGAGAAAATATCTGAGCTGCTAGGGCAGATGACGGACACTCTGCAGAGCTATGGTGACCAGGTAAGGCAGATTGTGGAGAAGGAGTTAGGTCCAGGTGAAGCCAGCATCAGTAGTCGAGTGGGTGAAACGTCTGAGCTGGTCAAACAGCTGAGGCACGCTGTTCTAACTGCTGGATCACTTCTGACTGAAGATGACGAGAAGGCATTCAGTGACGAACTTCAAAGTCTTAAGCCCTGTATTGCAGAATTATTGGCTAAACCACTTAGAGAAGACCAAGACTTTGTGGAAACCAAGGCCAGCGCTGTCCGAGCCTGTCCCCAGCTGGAGGACATGAGCTCTGAGCTGAGGGAACAACTTGGAGAGATTCAGCGCTCCCTTCGGAACACCCTCAACCCATCAGAGCTGACCTTTGACCCTGAGACGGCTCATCCTAATCTCATCCTCTCAGAGGACCTGAAGACAGTGACTTTCAGCACTGTGATGCAGTCCTGCCCGTCCTCACCGCAGAGGTTTACCAGCTTCTACCAGGTGCTCAGCACTCAAAGCTTCTCAGAAGGGGAACACAGCTGGGAGGTGGAGCTGGAAGGTTCACCGTGGATCGTCGGTATGTGCTACAGTGCAAAGCTGGCACGCGTCGGGGTGCCGTCCGCTCTGGAAAGCAGCCGAAGCTCCTGGTGTCTGATGTGGTTCGACAACCTGCTGACTGCTTTTGAGCAGGGTCACCCTGTGCCGCTGAAGAAAACCACAGTGTCTCGCAGACTTGAGGTCAAGCTCAGCTTTAAAACACACCGGCTGAGCTTCTACAACATTAGCTCCTCCTCTGGGAAGACGCATATCTACACCTTTAAGGCCAATCTAACTGAAGCGGTGCACCTCGCCTACAGGATGATGTCAGGGCATCCCAAAGGCAGAGTCACCATTTGTTCATAAAGGGACATTTTGAAAATAAGCACAAAGGAGACATATCAACGCGACTGTATCCTTACTACCATATTTCAGAAAAAGTTTAATATGATAAATCAATTAGTACCTGTTTTAAGACTAATATGTGATATTATATTACTAGTTTAGACTTAGACTCAACTTTATCCCTTGGATTTACTCCTTCAGGGAAATTCTGCTTCCAGTAGCTTATATAGAGTACAGAGAGTTAAAGCAAGAGCCATAAAGGATAGAAATATAACAGACAATATAAAAAGTCTGTATATAGTATACATTACAACTATTTAAAAAAAGTTGTAATGTCCTGGAATATTTTTCCCTTAGATATAAAAATATCTGCACAGTAGAGAGCTAAGGGAAGACTGCACAGTAGTTGACTTTGGTTAATACACTTGTACTGCAGAGATTTACTGACCTTATAAATACGTTTTTTTTTTTTTCTTTGTTTTGGTTTCAAAAATCTTCAGAAACATAATTCTGGGGGTATTGGACTGCAAAAATGATCTAGAAATAAGTAAAAATTTCTTGAATTAAGTGTATTTACTCTTAATCTGAGTAGGTAAAGTAGGTAGGTAGAGTAGGTAAGATGATTTGCCAATGGATTGAGTATTTATACTCTTAAAATGAGATGATGATTTAATATGCACTTGAAATAAAACAATACAATTTTTTTTCTTCTCATTTGAAGTGTAAATTGCCTTGTTCCATTGGCAAAGTGTCTCACTTACATCCTCAACTCAAGAAGTAAGAAAATAAAAATAATGACTTTTTTAGATTTCTATCTTTTGCAGTGTGCACTTCATTCTGGTTGAAAACAATGTTTAGGTAATTTGATGAGATGTGTTGTTTTTTTTTTGTCCCATGCAGAGAAAGAACAGGATGTCATGTATGATATAATCAGTAGAAATCTGACGGCTCAATGTAGGCCTGATCACAGTCAAAGTTGCAGACTTGGTATGTGCCCAAAGATACACACCTGGGAGATTTTGGCCAAATGAACTTGGGTGGAGGACAATGCCGGACCAAGAGGTGTCTCTTATTTATTTTTCAGGAGTTGGCCACCCTACCCTCTGCCATCAGATTTCTCAACGCCACAGCCAGGACCCTGGTACTTAGATTCTAATTGCCATACAACTGTTGTTTCTATAAATAAGGGAAGAATTTTTATTTTCTATTTTGATAATTAAATGTTAAGTAATTTTAATTTCAACAATAAAAATAATTGCACAAAAATAGTTCGGCATCATTCATTTACTTTCAAAAGCACTTAAATGTTTAGTGGAGGACTTTCTTTTTCAGGGTGGATCATCTAGTGGTCCTTCTAATTGTCAATCATTCTGCTGATATGTTGACCTAAGGCTGTCCTATGTGCTTTTGCCCATTCTTCCTCACCACCATCAGAATGTGGAAGCTACAATAAAACAGTTCATAAACAAGTTAATGAATGCTATGTTTATGATGTTTAAGATGGATATAAAGGAGGCAGAACTGAAATTCTCATTGAAACCACCGGAAACAAAATAAAGTTATTTGGACAAATTGAAACATTGAAAATATAATTTCATCATCCAAATAAAGTGTGTAAATTAAGCATACAAGTGTAATTAAGGTGTAATCTGGACGAAAATGGCCTCAAGGAAGTGTTCGATAGGTGAGGAGCAGCAGAGCTGGTTGGAGGAACACAGGAGGGAAGATCTTGATGACCTGGGGTGTGTGAAGGATTAGGGAACCAAATATTTGAGCTAGTGCTTACTCCTTGTCAACTTGTAAAACTTAGATTAGTTGGAAATTGTATTTTTTGAGTATCATCAAGCCATACAGTATTTGGTGTGACAATTTAATTCAGGATTCTGGCTTCCAGAGCTTTGTTAGACTAACTTACAGTCTGAAAAATTAGGTTATACCGTATTACAAACAGTAGTACTGAGGCATTAAAGAAAGACACGAAGATAATAAACAGTACATACAGACAAAAAAAAAAAAAAATGAAGCATAGCGTCACATAATACTGTTTATTCCCTGGAAAATGGTATAGTTTCATGCTCACATTGCATTCTTGGAAATTTAATATGTTTACACCGGCCACTGATGATTCAAATCACGAAAAAGTGGTAGACAGACGTGTAAAAATTGACTTCAAACATTTAATCTCATGAATTTGGGCTTTCACTGCCATCTGCTGTCATATGAGAGTGAGTACAACTTGACGACCATAAGCTTTTTCATATTTCTTTTGTCATTTTAAACATGAAACTACCAAAGCACAAGCCAAGTAGTAGAGCTAAATATTGAAATGAAATTAAAAGCTAAATAAAATAAACCAGGTCACTTAATAAAGCCACATTTTTTGTATGCTTTATTTTTATATTCACATGCTAATATTTTCAGAATTAATAATAACATTATGTTAAAGATTTAATTTATTTTCTGCACCAAGGGCATAAGTAGGGAGAACAAGCAGAGTGAGTTTTGTGTAATACCAGACTTTATTATTGAACTAAACAGGATTTAGACGGGATCAGAAAGGAAGGTGCATCTTCTTTCTGCCTTTCCCCAACGATCAGGGATCTCCTGGTTGTTTTTGGTGCTGCAGTGTTCTTATTGGGTAAAACACCTTTAAATCTAGTGGCTGAGCACATAAAAGACAACCTCCGGGTGATATAATATGTAAAAAACGCCACCAAACGTTATTAACGCCACCGATCGCTTTGCCATAAGTGCGTGCTCTAGGTTCAACTCGCGCGCAGACTCCGCTCGCACAATGCCGCTGCGGCTGCGCTGACGGTGAAATGATGCACAGCCCCTGTCAGCAGGTCAGGTGACCGCCGCCGCCTCACAGGGAAATTCAGCCAAAGGAAAGTGCTCAGGAGACACAGCTATGTCTCGGATAAATGGTCGATGTCATTTATGTTTCCAGCGGATCATCTAAATCTAGCTTCTGTCGGAGTGAGATTTAAGAGAGCTCGACATTTTGGAGAGATTAGGCGCTTGAAATCAAGGCTTCTGAAGCGGTAAGCTGTAACTGTTTACAGTTCGGGGGCTTGTTCTGTCAGCGCATGAAAACACAGGCTGTAGTTTACCCCTGTTTTCATGCCGACACTGAGCTGACAGCTTTTAGAGCAGCTGTAGTGAAAGTTGAATTTTATCCACACATTTTCCATCTTCGAGGTGTTTATTTCCAATAAGCCGAGGTGCTAAAATATATATATTTTTTCCTCATGTATCAGCTTTAGACAGCTAGCATCAGGCTACATTAGCACCTTTAGCTGGAGCCTGAAATTCCCCCATAAACAGAAACCTCCACACACCCTGCAACCATTAGCTTCTCCTTTTTGCTAACTTCCAGCCAAAGTTCTTACATCTTCCCCTCTTATTTGTTTTAATATTACATTATACTTATATAAAGTGGACTACTGTAACCCGAGTCACTCCCAACTGTTAGTTGGGTGTTGGTTTCTGTTAGCAGGATTATTGTAGTACAACAGCTTTCAATGTAACCCTGCTCTTAGTTAAAGACCTGTTACATAATGCCCAGTGAATAGAAACCTATTTCACACAGGAGGACATGTTTCTCCCATCTCTGGGAAAGATAAATAAATTCATATATTGTTGAAGCAGAATAATCTAACATTTATTTTTATGCAAATATTAAAGAAAAACAAATCTCTTTGATCTCAGTTTATATTTTCACTGTAGAAAAGAAATATTCCAGAATTGTCAGAAACCTTAAAACTCCTATTATTGTTAAAACTAATCTAAATTTTTAGGAATTACCGTAAATCCTCTAATATAGGATGTGGCCTTTATTTCACTCAGGTACATCTTGGTCCAGACCAATGGTGTAACTATCGGTAAGCAGAGACTGCAGTTGCTTAGGGGCCCCGTCACTGACTCCTGGTTGGCCCCTACGCAATTGTGGACTATGATGTCTCTTTGCAGATTTAATGGTGCGAAAAATTCCTCTTTAACCCACATGATACTAGTTTGACTGACTGGACCATATTTATACACCAATACATGCCAGCAAAACAGACTACCAGTGGAATTAATAAAAACAACATTTTGTGTCTCTTTGAACCTATAAAATACCAGTTTAATTTCTTGAAAAAGTCAGTTACCGTAACAGTAATTCAGACATCTTCCAGCAGCTGCAATTTTTCTGCACAGCAATACAAAAAAAAAAGAGCCTACACAGAATGGAATCTTAACCAAACCGACTTGTAAAACAAAGTTTAAAAAAGTGGGACAAAAAGTTGATGGAAACCGTTCTGCCATCACAGCGAAATTTTATTTGACGTAGGCTTAGTGGAAGTAGACAACTGGTATCATTTATTTCAAGGGAAATTCAGAACAACGAAGGCCAACAAAATTCTGTTATTTTAACACTGCCTGGTGACCACCAGACCTACCGGTAATCACATGTGTCTTTCAGATCTGAACGATTGTGCAAGGTCACTACGATCTCTTTGTAAGCATGGGACTTCCCATGCTAATGGCTTGGATTCGTTTGCCCCCTGTGGTACTTGCATGTTACCATCACAAGTTGTTCAGCACTGTCACTACTAGGGGGTGTGCAAAATAATCGTGATGATGATGCATCGTGATTCTAATTTTCGTGATCTACTGCATCGATTCTTGATGCCAAGAATCGATTATTAATTAAAAAAAAATGAATAAATAAAATTGCATGAATGGTTGGCGAACATCAGCCAAAAACAAGTACAATACCACTTCCAGTCCAGTAGATGTGTTGACGCACGCTACCTTGTGTCACAAGCATTTTCGGCCGTGGGATACTGTGCCGGGTCATTCAAAAACAAAACATGGAGGAGAAAATATTGCAATGCATCGCAATAATTCAAGTATCGTGATGCATCGTGATAGAATCGCATCGTGGCCTGTGAATCGTGATTCGAATCGAATCGTGACTTCTTTGGCAATACCCACCCCTAGTCACTACCCGATCCGTCCCAGAAGCACAATCTGTTCTGTGCATGTGAATAGATATACATCCGGGTGTCAATAAATAATGTAATTTTGCTGCTAAAATTACTTATTTCTATCCTTAACTCACTAAAGAATACTAATACACATCTGTAAAAAATGTTTTATGACTTGTGAGACAATTTTTATGGTTTTTACATTTTCTTCGTTAAACTGCTTGTCTGACCTCATCATCGCCGTATCCCACGGCCGGAAATGCTTTTGAAACAAGGCAGCGGGCGTCACCACATCCGTAGCGACAGCTGAAAACTTTACTACCAAAATAAAAGTTTATTTAAACAAAGTCCACATCTTATAAAGTAGCTTTATCTGACATAGTTTACCTTTTTTCATTTTTCTCCTCAGGCGCTGACACCATGCTAGCCACAGTGAGCGCTTTGGCTCAGTACAATGTCTCCGTGTCAGCTACACCAGTGGAGAACACATCTGCTTTCCCAACCATGCATCCTGACGGCCAGGCCAATATCACCAAGCCTCACAAATGTCTGCAGGCCCTATATGAAGACATCGGAAACTCCAGGTAGCGGGAGACGTAGTAGATTGAAAGCTGGCGGTTATGCGGGATAGAGACTAATTCTCTCGTTCTGTCTCAGGGTGCGCTTCTGGGACATCCTGCTGCTGGTGCCAAACGTGGCCTTCTTCATGTTCCTGATGTGGAAGCTACCGTCAGCGAGGGCAAAGATTCGTCTCGCTTCCAGCCCCATTTTTGTCACCTTCTATTTGCTGGTGGGTTTAAAAAAACGTTAATTTTAATATAAGTTTAGTGCATCCTGTTGGTTGTATAATTGATCAGTTTGTTCCAGAATACGTCTGTGAATATTTTCTGATTAAAATATCTGGTTGATTGTCGCAGCTCTAATCATTGTCTGCTAGCGGTAATGCAATGCTAATAACTATCCTCTCATTTGGGTGTCTTATCTTTAGTGTTTTCTAAAATTAGTGACCTAAGACAGTTGGAGCTACAATCGTTCCAGACTGGTTTCACCATAGAGCTGTTTTGCTTTCTCTTTTTTCTGTCAGCATTAATCCATAAAAGTAACCTTTCAAACCTTCATATCTAAAACAGTTTTTGCTGTTATCTTATCTCCCTTCAACTGCCTTTGTTTTCGCTGTCCTTTAACAACCAGCAAAATTAAAGGTATAGTGGAGGATTTTCACAAACTTTTAAAAAGACCCAACGTGCATAGCACACGCAAAACCCTGTACCCGCTCCCCAGACTGAACGCCTATTAAACGTGTATCAGAGCATGCAGGAGGACATTTGTCCTCGTACACACTCTGTTTAAAAGTTGCTGTTTGCATTGCTTATGCTAGCTCACTTTCCAAAAGAAGATTTGTAATTTTTCCACTATATCAGACTCACCACTGGTAATGAAAAATGGAAGCAAGCACGTAGGACAACCTACAACAATAAGGAGGACCACTTATTTTTATGATTCATTAGGAAAAAGAAAATCCTCCACTATCACTTACTACTACCACTCCACCCGTCGCAAACAATAATAGAAGTGTGTTAACAGCTGAACTTTTGCCGTTTCTCAGTTCACAAGAATGCGAGTACGGACTAGTGTCCTCGCCAAGAATGTTCTTCACAAGAACGCAGGAAAGTATGGACTCTGGGAGAACGGGTGCATGCAGCATAGATATGGGTCAATTGGAGTCAGAACACAAATCAAATTTTGCCAAATAAAACAAAAAAGTGAGCATCAGAGCCAGCGGTACTTCACACCCGCTGTTCTGTCAGGTCAGCATACCCCATCAGACCAGTAAACCCATAGTAATACGCATGCACGTGCATGCAGAGAGCTACTGACCTGCTGCTGTTGGGCTAACGTTAGCCCTGGCTGCCGTTACCCTTGGAGGTCCGCTGGTTGCTGCAGTCCTCTCAACATCAGAACTTTTTTTTTTTTATTACGCACTAAATCAGTAAATGGACCATATAGTGACGCTTAAAAGTATAATGTTCTCACCTCAAATGATCTTAAAATGTACTTTAATTTTACAACAGCAAGAAAAAAGATAACTATATACTTAATACTCTGAGCTCTGTGAGCGCTCCACTGGAAGCTGCTGCTGCCGCAGTGCATGCTAGGACAGCGGTCAATCTCAAGAATGGACAAGTCTGCTCTGATGCATGCTGGGTAAAGAGGGAGGGGGCTGTCTTGTGAATTGGAATAGTACTAGGGCTGAGGCTGATAACGTTTCACGAGCACACGAGAACGCACAAGTGCACGTAGTGAGAAATGGTCTTTGTGTTTTGGAAGCTAAACTCTCTCCTGCTGATGGGCTACGTGTGTTTTAGTTGTAGCATCAACTAAACATCTCCTTTGCTGTGTTTCTCAGGTTTTTGTTGTTGCAGCTGTTGGAATCACTCGCGCCATTGTTTCCATGACGGTCAGCACATCCAATGCCGCCACCATTGTGGACAAAGTAAGAAAACAAAGAGCATAATTAGAACTGACGATTTGCTTTCGAATATCATCTGGCTTTCATAAAAACTGCTGGAAACTGTCTTTCCTCATAGGGTATCAGTTTATTTGTTTTAGCAATTGGGGGGATAATAGAATGCTGAAATCTCTCATGTAGAAAGACTAACATAAGTGGTTAAAACAAATGTCAATAGGGCTGTGTTAATATTTTTAAAATTATGAATCGATTTTCATATTAAATCCTGAAGATCGATTCATATAAATAAATCCTTCGTCCACTGTTCTTACAGCAACTCAACGCTATTTCTGACATTTTGAATTTAAAAAGCTTCATGGGAGGGAAGCAAAACATCTTTAAACTTGGAAACCAAGTCCATTGGATTGTTTTTTTTTTTTTACAATTACTTTATTAATTTGTTGATGAATGTTAACATAATACTAGTATCTAAAGGTTGCATAAGTAGACACTGATGTAGGTCAGTGAACAGCTTAAAAACAGTTATTTAATCAGCAGCAGGGCCATTATAACCTTGCTTCATTTCTGATCAGTGGTCAGCACTAATTCGCTGGCTTTACTTTCTGTCAATGTATGATGACATCACTTTTTTTTGCCTGGTTAATTCACTTCAAACCAAAAGGAAACTAGCCTTATTCGCTTTTTTCTTCAAAATATTTTAAAGGTTTGCTTAAGATTCACATGAGATTTGGATGGAAACATGATAATAATAACTCCTGCTTACTCTAAAATAACCCCTTAATTCCAGTTCATTCCAATAAATCGCCAATGGACCATTAAATATCGATCCATATCTTCAAAGTATTTTCAACATGGCGTCTATTATTAAACTTCCTGTGGCAGTTTACTCCAACTCCAAACTCCTTTTCCTCAGGTACTTTATGTTTAGTTTAGAGATCAATGTTAATTATTTGACCTTTTCTGTAGCAGAAGTGGAAATTTCCCAGATCCTTATTGGAAAAATAAGGAGGACTTGTGGTCATCAGAAGTCATCAGAAAAGTCAGAGGTTTCTTACCCAAATACAGCTGCTGTGTGAAAAACCCACTAACAGCTGATGAACCATTTTCACCTCTGATGGGTTGAGCAGTTGAAAAACACCTAAGATGGACTGACCTGCTGTCAGTAAGAAATGATTTGTAACATTGCTTCTGTTTCTATAAGGAAAGAAAACAGCAGCAAGAATATTTAATACCAAAGAGATTAAATGACCCCCCCACCCCAAAAAAAAACAAAAACAAAAAAACAAAACAGATATCTGTATTATTTCACATTTAACTAATTGTGCAATATATTGTGAAGTAAATGTTAAACAACTTTCATTTATTTGGTATAGATGTTTATAATCTATACTACTTAAAATATAAAATGTGATATCCTAGTGATTAGAGCAGTGCGCTTGTGGTCTTGAGAGGGTTACAGGTACTAGGTTCGATCCCCACAGCTTCCATTCTTTTATTTTTTTATTTTTATTTTTTATTTTTTATTTTTTTTTTATTATTTTTTTTATTAAAAAAATAAATAAATAAAATAAAAAAAAAAACAGCTTCCATTCTAGGTCCCTGAGCAAAGACCCTTAACCCCACATTGCTCCCCGCGCGCCGCACAATGGCAGCCCTCTGCTCCCCAAGGGGATGGGTTAAATGCTCCAGTGTAAACTCAATAAAGTTCAATTATTATTATATGTATGTATATTAGATAAAGTCAGTTTAGTCTATCAAAAATATAATTCAGAGTTGGTAAAACTAAATTAACTACATGTAGGTCCTGTTGGAATATCCATCTAATTCGTTTTTGATTTTAAAGATGAAGATAGTTGATAAACCTGTCAGAGCTCTATTTACTCTAAACAGCTGGGAAAGACAACCTCTATGTTTATATGTAAACTTCTGAATTGTTTAAAGGAAGCTTTAACTGTAAAAGTGGGGAAAGCCTGAGTTCCTTTAAATCAAGACTAAAAACACATTTGTTCAGGATTGCCTTCGACTGTTCAAATTAAACAGTTCAACTGTAATATCATTAGTTCAACTTTTTTATTTTCTTTAGTTCAACTGTTTTTAATATTATTTTTTGTTTCTGCATTTTTTATTTTATTTATTTATTTATTACTTGCTTTGATTCAGTTTTATTTTCCTATATTTGGATCATGTAAAGCACTTTGCATTGCCTTTGTACTGAATTGTGCTATACAAATAAACTTGCCTTGCTTAGTGATAATAACATGATTCTATTAAATCATTAGTTTTTTGGGTTTTACATTTTTATTAACTATAACTGAAAATTGTAATTGGCAGTGAAGAAAGATGTTTTTTGTTAATAACCCAGAGGAGATGGTTTGTGCAGCTGCTGGGCTTTCATGCATCAGTAGGAAGAAAAGGCCGGGCTTGCATTCCATTCATGCCAGACAGAATCCTGCAGATTTACAGTGATGGACCAGCTATTCTAATATCACAAGGTCATGGCGGCAGCATTCGCAGCCTTTATGAGTCTATGGAATGTGACCTGTGGATGGGCCTGTACTGTGGGTCAAATAAAACGTGTCACAGGAAGGCTGATCTGCTTCGCTGCTCTGTGTTGTTTCCTTTAGGTCCTTTGGGAAATCACCCGCTTCTTCTTGCTCGCTATTGAGCTCAGTGTGATCATCCTGGGACTCGCTTTTGGTCAGTTTGTTTCAGTTCTCCTTTTCTGCGTGTTTGAAGTAGCGTGGCATTTCTGCCTTATGTTCCCTCGCAGCTTCTTTGGAGGCTGCAACTGAGTACAACTGATGTGTTTCTGTTTTCAGGTCACCTAGAGAGCAAGTCCAGTATAAAACGTGTGCTGGCTATTACCGCTGTGTTGGCCCTGGCATACTCCATCACACAGGTGATTAAAGATGATATAATATCAAATATTGTTTATGGTAAAAGCGGAAATGAACATGAGTTAAACAAATTGCTATTTTAGGGAACACTAGAGATTCTTTACCCAGACAGCCACCTTTCAGCGGAGGACTTTAACATCTATGGTCATGGAGGACGGCACTTCTGGTTAGCCAGTTCCTGCTTTTTCTTCTTGGTAAGTAAATATTGCTCTTACATCCGCAGCAACATGAAAGAAAAAACAAAAGTTTCTGATGTAGCAGACTCATTTTTAGGCTGACAATAATTTGTTTCCTTAGGTTTACTCTCTGATTGTTGCTCTTCCTAAAACCCCAGTGAGGAACAGGATATCATTGCCATGTAAGTGTTGGATTTAAAGAGCAGCAAAGGGAATATATATAATATAGAAAATATCTGTGACAAGCTCACTGCGATACACTGCTATGGGGAGCATAATCAGCCCTTTAGGGGAAGAGACCCTCTTTGAAGCAGAGACACAGAAAAGTTGAAGGATTTGAGTTAGTGACCCATACTTAATTCTCTTTTATTGCTATCAAACTTTTCCCTAAGTCTGTGATACATCTGTACTATTAGCCCTTTTTCTTTTTTTTACTGTTTTAAATAAACCAGCTGCAGCGTGTTTTTTCAGGGTTTTGCTCTTCTTGATGAGGAATTTATTTTTTTATTTTTTCCAATGTGCAAAAAACTCTGCAAATGCTAATGCAAATGTTGAAATGCATTAATCTTCTAAAATATATATTTTCCTGTAAACCTACACAATATTTCTGCTCCTCGATTTAGTTTATTTGCAGGCCTTGGCAGTTGAATTGTTAGGTTACTGATGACCAGCTTCTCTTTCATAATTATTTGTAACAAAGCTTGGTTTGAATGCTTAATATAGTGGAAACAATTATCTGTGAGTTATGAGTTTGATACAAGTTATCATGCGAGGAACCAGGCATAACTTAAGTACTTCTTAGTTTTAAATCATAAAAGGTGTTAAGCCTTTAAAGCCTGACTAATGTAGAAAGGTGTGCCACAAATTGTAATCAAAATCATTTTTATTCCCTTAAATAAAAGTAAAAAGAAAAAAAAAGCTTTGTAATGAGAGACTGAAAACGTGCAAAATATTGACAGATAAGATCTGAAGTCACCATAAGCCATAATATATGAGCTAACAGATTATTTTATTAAGTTCTGGGTCTTCTGTTGTAAATGTTTAAATCACAAACCCTACCAAAGGCTTTTTAATCTAATAAAGAATCCACTTCTTAGTGTTTGATGTCCTGTTGTAACTGTGAGTTATTTTTATGTATAGCTTTGCTCTTTAAAACCGAAAGTAACCGCATGAAAATTAGAAGCAGCAATCACATGCAAAAGAGATCAGGCTGGTTTTAGCTTCCATTTAGTAATGGAGGAAATGCATCCAATAGCATTAGAGCTAAGTTGTAGACGCCTACAATATAAGCTTGTTGGGTAATAAGACTGAATGAGAGGATGTCATCCAATGAAATGGACTGTGGTTGGATGTACCCTACTTTACGTGATGTTTTTATACTTTTTATTTTCTTTTTTTCCCCAGCTAAAAGGGGTTTCTACGTGTACGCAGCCATCTTGTCTTTGCTGAACTTTGTTCAGGGTCTGGGCAGCGCTCTGCTGTGTGCTGGGATCATAGAAGGACTCTGGTCAGTATTCTTTCCTCACCTGCATCCACTCCAATACATCATCACTCTTTTTGTTAATTATTTCGATAAAATCTAATGCCACATATAAAAAACCTCTAAATAAAACCTCATTATCCTGTACAGTTTGTAGTAATTGTTTGTCTTTTGTGTACCAGCTGCGTGGATGTCACCACCTTCCTGTATTTTTCTGCCTTTGCTCCGCTCATTTATATCACGTTCCTCAAGGGATTCTTTGGGTATGTATTCACAAGTTAACTACATGCAACCACATATGATCTCAGTGCTTAATTTCCAAAACAAAAGATTTGTAACATGCACTTATATCTTTAGAGGACTGTTAACTATAATTATGTTTATGAGCGTTGAACTTCGATGCTCTGTTTTATCCCTGTGGGGTTTTAACCTCTGTGACAGAAAAAGGTTTATTGTGAGAGGTAAGCTGAGTTTTTTGGGCCGTCTTTGACAAAGGATCTATTCTCTCTCGTGAATAATGTAATGGTAGCTGCTAGACCTTTTTTACAGTGTGCTTTATATGGTGAAAACCTAAGTGGATTATAGAATGCACTAATTGTTGATAGAAGCTGATCAACGCCCCTTTAAATGCTGAACTATGTAACTGTTGTCTCTCTTTAAATAAAACTAAAGCCTGTTATTTTTTATATTTAGTTTTTTTTTTAAATGTCTGTTTTTTCTGTTTGACAATGTTTTTTATTTAAATTTTCCTTCCTTTGTTGCAGTTCAGAACCAAAGATCCTGTTCTCCTACAAGTCACAGGTGGACGAGCCGGACGAAAGCGACGTCCACCTTCCTCCTACCGTGGCGGCGACCCTCGGCCGTAAAGACCTCACCGATCAGGGGCTGTACTACTCCTCTACGCAGATCGACGGCGCCGGTCCTGGCAGCTCCCGCATGGTTGGAGCGTACTTGGACGACGTTGCGTCAGGACCCTATGGGTCAAGCAGCATCAACAGCATAGAAGCTGACCGCTGGAGACCTATCAATGTGTGAGAGGATACACAGCTGCAGTACGATGTGGATGAAGGGAGTTTGGTAGGATGGAATCATGGAAGTGTCTCTTAGCCAGCAGGCTGGACAACATGGAGGAGTGATGTCGGCCTTTTCTTTATCAGATCAGGTTAAAAAAATGGACACTTTAACAGAGACTGTTTATCTGTTTGTGAAGGAAGGAATACTTGCTTCTGTAACAGTGTCGCCGGACTCTTCTGCTGCTGTTTCTTCACGTCGAGTTTCTGGCCCTGATGCTCCCTATTGATTCTGCTCCGATCTGACTGCTTATCAACTCGTCTCAGCACATTTTTCTCAAACTCCAGCACCAAAAATCCTTATTTATGCAGTTTGAGCCTTGTTTTAAATGCCTAAGTCTGCTAAATCAATCTAACACGTTATTTGAAAAAAAACACTTGTACATTCTTGCATTCTGGGGACCAGCATAATAAGGCGCCGATGTGCTTGTCTTATACTGGGTTAGACTTGTACCTGAGCTGGCTAATCTGTGTTTTGTTTTGTCTTTTTGGAGCAAAGCTTTTGTTTGTGGTTTGTAATCTGATTTATTTGATTTCCAAAGTAAAAAAGATAAACCAGCTCCTACACACAAGCATAAAAGGATCATATAGGCAACCCTGAAAAAGAATGTTTTTTCCATTAAGAATCTTTGTATACTTCGATTGTGTTCATGCTTTATAATTTCTGCCGTTGCTTTGTGTCTTCTTTTTTTTTTTAATACAAGGTGAAAAAAAAGCATTCCAGCCTCGGCAAAGAGGCTTCAGACTTTGCAAAAGAGTCATTTAATCCTGCTTGTTCAGACTTTGTGTCCTTGCTTTCATTTCTGTTGCGGTTTCTGGTGTTGCGTCTTTGATGAAGAGGCTAGTGGCGCGAATGATTTTGTGCTTTAATGCAGGACCAGTTATGACACCAGAAACAGAAATGATCCATTTTAATATATTCGAAATTGGCTCATAAAAATCTATTCAAACGAGTTTCTGATTTGAAGTGAGAAAAAGAAAGTTATGTAAGAAATTTTTGCAATTCCTATCCTTTTGTTTCAAGGAGGAAAAAAAAAAAGTTTATAATGGGTCATACTTTAATCTTCCATTATTTAAAAGAAAGTTGATCCACCTTTGTGTGTTCAGAATCCCCCAAAACAACAGTGCTTCCTAAGGACCAATTGCATATTTAACATTCTGTACAAATTAGCAAGTGGGTGCAGAAAGTATTTGCCTGACTTTGAAATCTTTAATGAATGTTACTTTTTGCTGAATGATTTTTAACTAGCTTTGGGGAAAGTAAGTCATTTTTTTTTCTCAACAAAAGGGGGAACATGAAGGAACAGCATTCTCTTCAAACACCAAGTCTTTCACAGTGAAGTTTTGCTGGTGGTGCTCTAATTACATTGTGTTGGTCGTTCCATGTGCTGTAAAATAAACTCTGGATCCATCCCTGTTTCGTCGTCTTTTCTGCATTCAAGCTCTCTAAAGAATGAAACCCTTCGAGTGCTTCTCCCTCCTTCTATTTGTGAATTACACCCCCACATATTCACTCAAAGATACTGTTCTGCGGTATTGTTTGTTGAAAATATAAAACATGAAATAAGGTACAGATATCCATTACAGGGTTTAATAAACACAATTATTTGGCTCACTTAAGTCCACCTATTTTGCTTTAAGTATCTTTAAACGGATGTTTTGCAAAAGGCATAAAAGTCAAATTGATTAGCTGGCAGTGGTCACCATGCTGACTTAGCTCATTTTGACAGATTTCAACACTGATTCTGTTGCATTTTTTTCTGTCCCCATAGCCATGTAGTATTTCCACAGAAGGCAGAGCTGAACCAAATGGTTATGAGGACATTTATCTTCAGAGGTTTATTTAGTAAAAATCTGTTCATAATCATAATTCAGGCCCCTGCTTAGAACCTATGACTCTGGTGAATTATACGCTGATGTCTGCTGGGCCCCTGGCAGCGCAGAGCGGGACAAAAAGAGACTGAACAAACTGTTTCTCTCCTACGCTGCTCTGTGGACTCAATGGAGGCTGAAAGGTGGGTGCTGTCCAAACTTATATCCATCATGGACAACACCTTCCACCCTCTGCATCAGAGTGTGGAGGAGCTGAGCAGCTCCTTTAGTGAAAGACACACCCTGTTTGTAAAAAGGAGCATTACTGCAAGTCATTCATCCCTGCTGCCACCAGAATCTACAATGCAACAATACAACGGCAATAACTTGTGCAATGTATAATGTGCAATTACTATTTGATACCCTGTGCAAAACCTGTTTCTCTATATTTGACACCCAGTGCAATAGCTATAAATATAAATATCCATCTATATGAATACCAATGTAAACACCCTGTGCAATAACCCTGTATATTAATCCTACTATATATATATATATATATATATATATATATATATATATATATA